CAAGATGAACACCGGATTCATAGAAGAAGTTAATTCAGTGTTGGTAATATATAGAAGAAAGATTGCATATAAGGAGATAGTACAGGAAGAAAGAATTAGTTCCTAGAAAGAATGATATGAAGCGATTTTAATCTCTTAGTTTAAAGGAAGACAGAGAGTGTATACACCGACGCCATTGTGATCGATTCTGAGCCATGTCACCAAGAGTCTCCAACCATTGATTACGACAGTCACACGGACCCCAACCAGGCAGTCTGAATCTACCGACATGGCTCAGACCAGAGGTTAGTGACTTCAAGCACTGATTTCACGTTTTGGTTTGGCCATCCCTAACTTTCTTCCAACCGTCCCAAACACCGGTTAGCATAGCGCGCTGTGGTAATCGGTGTTCAGGCATACGCAGCACGTGGCCCAACCGTCTCAGTCGATGAAGATTCATAACGTCATCAACTGATTTACCATCATTACCTAATACCCTGCGTCTAACCTCACTATTACTTACCCGGTGATCCCAGCACATACCCGCAATATTTCTAAGGCACCTGTGGTCAAATACTAGTAACTTACTAGTATCCTCTACTCTTAAAGGCCATGTTTCACAGCCGTATAGTAGAACGGAACGAACTGCCGTGCAGTATACTCGTCCCTTAATTGATAGACGGATAGTTTGCCTTCTCCATAGATGACGTAGGTTGGCAAAGGCCAAGCGAGCGTTTCGAATCCGTGCTGAGATTTCGTCAGACACCAACCCATTAGGGCTGATCAGACTTCCAAGATAAGTGAAGTTGTCAACGCGTTCGACTACTTCACTCCCTATCCTTAGTTCAGGTGTTGACGCAGACCAGTCCTGAAGCAACAACTTGCATTTGGACGGAGAGAAGCGCATCCCAAACATTCTAGCATTGTTGCTCAGTGCTACCAAAAGACTCTGCATTTCATCAGCGTCTTCACCAAACAGGACTTTATCATCTGCGTATTCTAAGTCAATAAGTGGACCTCCTGGTAGGAGATCAATACCCGAGAATTCAGTCGATGAGAGCGTTATTTCCATCAGGAGGTCTATGATAAAGTTAAACAAAAATGGAGAAAGTGGACAGCCTTGGCGGACGCCACTTGAGGTTGCGAAAGCAGATGACAGTTCTCCATAAGCTCTGACTCTACTAGTAGTGTTCGAGTAAAGAGCCTTCACAGGGTTTATGTACTTCTGAGGTACGTTTTTCAATTATAGACACTGCCACAGAACCTCTCGGTCAACAGAGTCAAACGCTGCTTTTAAATCGAGGAAGACCACTATTGACCGTTGTTGCTACCTTGACGTGGTGGTCGGGCTTGCCTATCGTGATGAAGCAACTGAGCTATACTGGCTGGAACAACCGTTCCTCAAGGTCCTACCATGCCAGACAGGTCGGTTGAAGAGCGGTAAGACTAAAAGCAACAAAACCAAGGTCCGAAGGCGAAGTCGTATTGCTGACTGTACAGAGGTGTGACAGCAGTAAGGTGTTTCCTTCAGACAACCAGCATAACAGCGATGCTGCCTTCCCAAAAGGAGGGGAGGGGTTAGAAAAGGTTGAACCTAAAAATACACACCTCTCCTTATCCCACGGATATCCGTCTCCGGAGGTAAGGTCTCAACAAGTGCGGAGCTAACACAAAAGTTACTCATAAAAAGGTCGTGTGTGACCGACCTCAAGCAGCTGTCCCTTGGGCACTGCGGTCACGCTCTCAGGTCACTATGACCACCTCTAATCCAATTTCCTTTTCAGATACCTCCAGCAGAACCCTTACACGATGTGGGCAACCGGGAAGTGATAACCGCCCTCAAACCTCTAACAGCACTCAAGACCACTAAAAATTACCCGCAATCGAAATTAATTGTAGGAAAGGTGTTATAAGATTTCAACAGTATCAGTGGTACTAGGATAGATTAGGTATCGAACATAAGGATCTAGGATAGATTAATTAGTGAACTAAAAACACAAATGATAGTTGTGAGGAATTCAGAGGCTTTGAATTTAAGGGAAGACAAAAAAAACTTATGCACTTGCGCCGTTGCATGTCATTCAAAGTCTCTAACCACTGGTTACCATAATCATGGGGATTCAAACAATCTGGTCTACGCTTGCAAATATGGGCCAGTTCAACTGTCAATGTCTTAACGAACTGGTTCGATGTTGTGGTTTCGCCGCCCTTGACGTCCTTCCAGTCTACTCCTACATCAGATAACATCGTCGAAGTTGATGCTTGTAGGGGATACGTAAGGCATGTCTCAACCACCTCAGTTGGTCTCCCATCTTCACCTAGTACTCTATTCCTAACCTAAAAATTGATTACTTTGTGGTCTTAAAATACATAAGTAATGTTTCAACGACACCTATGATCGAATGAAAGTAACCTGCGAATATCCTCTATCCCTAATTGTGATGTTTCTCACCTATAATGTAGGGACAGAGCAAACTGCTGAAAAAAAAACTTGCTCTTAGGTAGGGAAATTTTTCAGACACTAAACAATCGGGAGTGATGAAACGCTCAAGATAAGTGAAGAGGTCGATTCATTCAGCTACTTCACTATCTGTCATTAGCTCAGGCGATGACGCCTGATGTAACAGTTTGTATTTGAAGGGAGAGAACCACATCCCAAACATTCTTGGATTGTTGATTAAGGTAGTCAGAAAACTCAGTATTTTATCAACGTCTTCACCAAACAGAACCATTTCATCCGTATTGTAAGTAAACATTTGAGCCCCACAGGTAAGAGATAAATCTTTGAAAAGTCATGCTAGAGATCGAACTTGTGTATTCTATTTCCTATAACAACAGAGTTATCTTTGAAATGCTAAGTAACACATCACTGATGGGCAATTGATTGAACTTGGAAATGTGAATCGTTGAACTACATGTCAATGGCCTTAAGGTAATGCACACACCCTGAGGTCATAAGTTCCTAAGTCCTATCCTATCTTTAATTGTAATTACATAAGAGAGTTCATTACAAAGCATAGAATATACATAATTTATGTAAGAAAGTAGGAATCTGTTTAAGACTTAATTAATCAACAATAATTTTAGTTTTATTGTTGTTTAACTATATGAATTAAATAATCATTACAATAAATGGACTAGCGCATACTTTTTATTATACTTCATCTACGTGATATATACCTAATAATCAATAGACTGATTTACAGTATTCTGTATTAATTAACACAACATACTAGTTTAACACTAACTATCATTCTTTTAAGTTTTAAATATTGAGGTCATTTATGGTATGATATGGTAGTTGATTGTTAAAGATCAAATTATTTAAGAAATAGGTTTTCTATCATATCAAACTATAAAATGAAAAGTTCAACTAATCAAAGTTTTACAGATAAGAATGTTATGTGAAATTCATTGTAGATTTTTTACAAGTTTCGATAATCTTTCAGCTTTTTAAAAAGCTTATGACTTAAGGCAATATCGAAGCAATCCTCACAAGATGCTCATATGCAAACATGAGACTGATCAATTCCAGTCCTAAATAACAATGGAAAGATACAAGTAAAACAACACCAAGTGAACTTTTACTAATACTAACATTATTAGCAAAAGTACTACTACTATTAGCATTAGTATTACTACTGTAATGAACGAGAACACAGACGAAGACAACTAAATGCACTTGAATACAAAATTATAGAATCTCTTAGTAAAATATGTGAACCATACATTCAATACTTCATTTGCAAACTATACATCTATTATCTCAGACTTTGTTGTTCCTACGTTCCAATACCACTTACTCTCTGTTCTCATTTTCTTCTTTACGATTTTCTCAACCTTGTGCCGCCAGACATTCTACTTTCGATTGATGATACATACTACTTATATTGGTCGACCTCAGTAGCCCACATCATACTACGATTACTACCACTCCTAATAGTAGTAACAATATTACTATTAGTACTACAAATATCCTTATTATTACTACCATAATTGGTTATCTAATCTTAATAAGAAATAACAAATACCTTATCTGTATTCCAACAAAATTTAGTAGTTTATGTCAATAATCATTGAAATGTTAATCAATTATCAAAGTTACTTATATTATTCATAACTTATATAAATTAAAATAGTTGAAATCATGAACCAATTAAAGCGATATCATTATGGAAAACCTGGAAGCACTGGACGGCTATCTCGTCCTATCGTGGGACTCCTCAGGATGAAACGAAAATTACTACAATCTTCAAATAACCCTTCTTATATAAATCAAATAGATAATCCTTTGAATATTCTAAAATTAGATTAAGTTTTACGATCTGAACATCTTGTTTTTCTTTTCATTATATGATTTCGGTATGAAAATTTCCCTCTTTAATAAGTTCACTTAAGTTATTATCCTTACAAAAGACTAGTTTGAGTAATTAATTTTTCTTAGTACGACTCTATCACAATATACACAACCACATCTTCATATCTCTGTCTCTCTCTCTCTCACAAACTTAAATGGTCAGTATAGGGTTGTGAAGATTATTAAGTTTTTGACTGAGATTGTGAACCGATTGATGTTAGATCACCATTAAAGACCGGGAAGCGATTTCATAGATTGCTTAAGGTCAGACATTAACACCATTGGATGCCAACTCAGTGGTCTAGAGGTTAAACATTCACGCGCGAAACTAAGAGCCCCGAGTTCGAATCCCACGAGCAGAGTCGTGGATGCGCAATGCTGAGAAGTACCACAATAGAACAAAACAGCTGTCTAATACTTTCATGTTTTCAATGGTAGTCTAACATCAATCAAAATCTAAAATAAGATTTTTCTTTTTTTCAAATATAGTTAAGGACGACGAAGAAAATAAAAGATCACGTCAATTCTAATCAGAAAATCAAAACAACACCATTCATATTTTAATAAATAAAAATATTTATTTATCTTTGAACAATAGTGTAAAATTGAAATGTTGTATTGTAGAAAAAATTTAAAAAAAACAAACAAACAAATAAAAAGGGGTGGAAGGGCGTTGATCATCTTAATGTTTAAAGAAAGTGCCTTCATTGTTCATTGTCTCATTTCAATATTTCTATGAATGAATTATGTAATACTATTATCTCTTTCCATATATGTATATGTATATACGTACAATACTGAAAATGCGTTTTATTTTTTTATTTTTTTTGGACAAAAGAGGTTGATCGTTTTATTATCTTTAAAATAAATTTCAATTATTCATTGATGATAGAATAGTAACTGGTATATTAGAATGATGTAATACATATGAACTAACACTTCCAGTAATTGCACGTTTAATAAAACTTAAACTACGTTTAAGCATAATAATATTATCAATATGTTGTTCATTAATCATTTTAATTATAGCTGGACCTGGTTTTGTATCAATTTGTATCATTGCTTCTGATTTTATACCATATATATTTGCTTCATGTACAAGTTCTTGACATAATAATTTAGCTTTATTCATTATTTTTTCAGATACATGATATTTAGCATTACATGGCATTGTTTCATATTGACTTGATAATCCAGATAAAGCAGATGGTAGAATCGGTTCAACAACATGTAAGAAAATAATCAAATCACCAGGAAGTTTCAGATTATTAACATACCATAATATTGCTTTATGAGCTTCGGAACTTTCATAAATTGGAATTAATATTTTTCTTATAAATTTACTTTCTTCAGTTGAAATGAGACCAGGCATATTGATAATAAGATAGATTTTTTATTATAAATAATCTGTGCGTGATCTTATAGCTTCTTTATTGTGCTTATATAATTGCAAGTACTTTGATTTGATTGGTTGATATTGTTGCAACATTTTGATTGGAGGAAAAACTTTCCATTTTGTAAATGACTCAGTAGAGTTAATCAATTAGAAAAGTTTTTTTAATGAGATGATTGTAGTATAAATAAACCATTGGCTTGTAAAAACATCGAGAAGTGATCATTTTATGGCCTTTCGGCTAACTATATTTGAGTAAAGGAACATATATTCATGTGAATCAGGCCTGAATTAATCAGCCTCTTTCTACCGGTACTTCGTTGTTATAATGTTTTCTAAAGTAAATTGCTCTTAGTAGATTGTAAGGAAATTCAGACCATTTTTTTGCATAACTCGTACGCTCGAAACCAGCAGTTATTTTTTTACATGGCATGGCCTTATATACTAGGCTGCTATACATTAGGTTGCTACAGAAACATTTTATTCATCAAACATACATTACACTTAGAGTCAGTACTTTTTATATAAATGAACTGACCAAACGTGTTTATTGTCACTTTATCTTACAACAGATTAATGTAAAACATGGTTGTCGATAAATTTCTGAATATGACAGAATTATTTAAAGAATTCATTTACTAACATTTTGTTATTTCAATTGTAACATTCCTGATATCAGCAATATTTGGATTCCTATATAGAATAGGTTAAAAACATGTTTTTATAAACATAACTGTCTTAATTTTTAAACCGCTGCATCCAATAAAGGCTAAATACAAGAAAATAATACAAGAAGATAATATGCATGATATTAGCTTAGAGAACTAAAAAAATTAAGTTATTACCACAAAGCTCGAAGCCTCAAGAATTGATTACTGAATCAGCTGTGTGAGATAGATTATTGAGGAGTTATTTATTGTCAAGCAATATTTTGGCTAATTTCAGACAACTGACACCAAAGCTCAGTCACTTGACGAATTTAGAGTATTCCTCTTCTATCATCATACATTGATATGACATAAAATATAAGCCGTGTTACTGTTAAATACAAAAGTATGTAAGATCTCCTGAATGAAAGAAACTCATTGTTTTCTGATATAAGCCTAAAACTATGCTGAATCGATAACCTGCAAGAAAATTCTAACTTAGTAAAATGGTTTTCTTCACAAAATAATGACGAAAAAATTTGAAACTTTATTACCCTGAAGAAGTCCAGACAAGTTAGCTGGACGAAACGTTTGAATTATTTAAATTTCAATCGCTGAGATTATTTCAAATATAATTTTCATATATAGTTCCCTATGTTTTATCAGCTCACTAGTAGTACAGTTATGAATTTTATACGAATTGTTTAATATGAAATGAGTATTGATTATAAACTAAGATAAGTTGAATTCTAGGAGGCAAAGAATATATATGTAATCGTTGTGGCAGTACTTATTCATATCTGTAAATTGGAGACTATCAGGCCTTATAGTGAGGTCGATGATTATAATTTACTCAAGTGGGACCCAATGGTACAAGTTTCAGCTTCAATCAGTTTTCGGTATAGCTCAAGGACCATTCTATGGCATTAGTAATGTAAGTGTCATTCCTGACTCAATTCATTTCAACCAGTCAAGGCCTTTTACTAAGGCTTTAGGAGTTGTAAAACCTAGTCATACATAAGCCAACGATTACTGCTTGTATGGGTTACATCACGAACTAACTTCAGTTACCCAATCTTTGAAAATGAGGAAGGATTAAACAGCTGTTTTATCCTAATAATGAGTTTCTCAAGATTGCACATTAACGATGTTTAGCAGCTACCGAACCCTGGAACATCCAGATCTGGCACTGAGTGTTTAACCTTTAGACTGTTGAATTAACATCCAATAGTTTACATATTTAAATCCAGTTAATTGGTGATATTACATGACTATTATTCAGTGGAATTAGTCATAATTATTTTGCATGAAATAAGTTTAAACTAAAGTGGACACGACTTTTCACTAGAACTAGGGTGATTATCTCTTCGAATTAAGCACTATTAGTCACATAATTACTGCTTAGATACGATAATTTATGAAAATTATTCAATTTAAATTTAGTCGGATATATAAGTGATATCCATTTTGGTATGACATGATTATTGTTTAATAACAAATTTAAAATTAACAAATTAATTCATTAACAAGGTGATTGGGTATGAGATACACTCTAAGTGTATGAGCTAATGATACTTACTAGCTAGTTACTAAAACTGAATTAAGCCGAAAGTGTAATATTAAAACCTAACTGGTTTCAAAAACGTGAATCGTTGCATTGTAACTACACAGTTTAAATCTATCGTGTTGGTCATGAGAATTAAAGTTTTTAATAACGATCCTGTGTAAAAGTAGGTTTTGATACATACATTGATCAGAAATTTCAAGCTTCGCTTAAACAAATATCCAGAATTCCTTGTTTACTCAGAAGTTCTCTAACTAATGTCACTTAGCAATGAAAGAATACAAATGATTGATCAGTTAGTAGTGACTAATATCACGGTTGTTCAATCCTTTGATTTTGATGGAATTTTATCAATTAAGTTATAATATCGATACTAGTAAAAATGAACTGACATTATGTGAATTACATTAAGTTGGTTGTAGGCAGTTACCATAAAACTCCTAAGTCTAGGATTAAAGTTCAAAGTCGTAAATGGAGGACAGCTGAAAGATGCATTCCAAGTAAGGACCGGTTTCAAATAAGACTGCTTACTCTCACCCCTTCTATTTCTTCTAGTAGTTGACTGGATTATGAAGACCTCAACATCTGAGAGGAATCCCGGAATAAAATGGACAGCTGGGATAATATTAGACAATTTGAACCTCGCAAATGACGTAGCCCTTCTATCCCATACACATCAACAAATACAAGTGAAGACAATTAGTGCATCAGTAGGCCTTAACATGCACAAAGAAAAAAGCAATATCCTAAAATACGACACATAGAACACCAACCCAATCACAATTGATAGAGAAACTCCGAAACAGGTGGAAACTTTCACGTAACAGGTTTGCATAATCGAAAAACTAGGAAGAGCCGATGCAGACGTAAAGACAAGGATTGGCAAAGAAAGGGCCGCATTTCTACACTTGAGGAATATATGGAACTCAAAACAACTGTCTGCAAGCCAGTATCAACGTCACAATCTTCAATACGAACGTCAAGGCAGTGAGTCCTACCGTACGAAGCTGAAAAGTGGAGAACAACTACAACCATCATCAAGAAGGTACAAGTATTTCTAAACGATTGGCTACGTAATATACTCAATGTTCGTCGGTCGGATACTTTCATCAACAGTCTACTAAGAAAGAGAATAGACCAGTTTCCAGCTGAGGAGGAAATCAGGAAAAGACTTTGGATATGGATAGGACATACATTGCGAAAATCATCAAACTGCATCTCAAAGCAAGTACCAACTCACAATCCTAAAGGGTAGCGGAAAAGAGGAAGACCAAAAAACACTCTGTTTCAGAAATTGGAAGCAGACATGAAAATAATAATGACCAACTACAAAGAACTAAGAAGGGATTGCTTGGAAAAAAGTTGAATGCTGGTTAGTGGCTTATATACCTTCATGAGAGGTAACAGGCATATATAAGTAAGTAAATAGTTGAATTTCACTAAACTAAACTGATCTCTTGTATAAAAAATATATTTAGTTGTCTTTAATTTTAACTGTTCAATAAAGTTTACTAAAGAAAGTTTTTGAAATTTTGAAATAAAATACACCATTAAATGGAATTTTAACGTCATCTAACTCAATTTTATTATTATTATGTTCACTGATATTCATTCTTTCACAAAACTGAGGTAGTCATTTTGGCAATAAGAAAACTCATTTAAGATTACACGATTGTCTATTTTGTTTATGAAATGAAATAAAACAAATATCTCACCCTGATTACATAACATCAAAGAAATATGCTGAAATTTATTTTTGAATAATAATAATAATAATAATAATAATAGTAACCCAGGTAAACTAAACTGAGTAAATAAAATGTTGATTATATAATTAAGAAAAAATGGCTGGTATTTCAAGATAGAAAAACAATTTAGGTTTCTTAATAATAAAAAGAGAAAAAATAAAATAAAAAACTGATATCAAATGAACATTAATTTTAATGGTTGAGATCATAAGTCAGTTGAAGCTAGACCGCTATGGAGAACCTAGAAGAACTGGACGGCCGTTTCGCCTTATTGTGGGACTCCTTAGTAGTGCTCATTTACAATCTCGCCCACCGCGAGATTCGAGCCTAGAATCTATAAGTCTTGCGCGCGAGCGCTTAAAATCTAGACCACTGAGACGGCCGACATCCAACGGTGTTAATGTCTAAATTCGACCAATCCACGAAATTAAGTGACATGTCCACCATTGTCTTCAACGAGTTATTATCTCACAGCAGACTTGATTGAACTTCACTGATCACTGCTTCTCACTAAAACTTCAAGATATACCTGTTGAAGCCAGTCACTAGTGAGCATATGTTGATTAATATCAGAAGGGGCTTTTATGGATATTGCAGTAAATTTAATAATTGAGATGATGAGTCAATTGAAGCTAGACCATCATGGAAAACCTGAAAGAACTGGACGGCCTTTTCGTCCTACTATGGGACTCCTCATTGATAAAAAAAATACAAGAAAATAAATAAATAGAACAATCATTTTAAACAAATATACACTCATTTATATGATCGATTTTGCAGCGATTTGCATAACTCTATCGGTCTCCTACATTGTACGAGCATTCCATGTACCTAAATTAATGGTTGCTTTGGTTATCAGAAGTGTCATCAACTTCATGACTTCCGAAGGAATTCGGATTTCAGTATAAGGCGTCATAAATCTTCTAAATGAAGATCTTCTAACTCCCAGAGCAGAGTATAAATGGTTTGAATTAGTTTTCTATGGGATGAGGTCATTAACCCCATGCTTAACCCTCCTTTATCCGGGCTTGGGATCGGCAGTAGCCCCAGAGGTGCTCCAGGTGGAATTATCGATTTTACTAACATTTA